TCATCATACTCCCTCCTGGGGAGTAGAGAGGAAATTTCTCAAGAAAAAATGTGGCCAGGGGAATAGGATTCCCTCTCACACTGTCAAAGATCTTTCTCCACTTCCAGAAAAAAAAAAAAAAAATCAGTCAAACAAGTGAATATTTAGTGTTTACATTGGTCAGTCCCTCACTAAGTAATTTTTAAAGTTCACAATCTTTGAAATACTATGTCAAGAATCTCAATATCACTCATGAAAATTCTGAAGCTCAGAGAAGCCGAATAGAATTCTGTATACCTCCCCTGCCTAGGTAACCTATAAATTGGCTGTAGGTATAAGAAAATATTAGGTCTCAAAAAAGAAAAGATTAGGTTTCCATACTATAAAACAGGAATCAGTAAATTTTTCCTATAAATGTCCAGAGACCTTAAGCAATGACTCAACTCTGCCATTCTAGTGTGAAAACAGCCATAGACAACACATAAATGAAGGGGCCTGGCTGTTCCAGTAAAACTCTACTTATGAATACTGAAATGTGAACCTCATATAATTTTCACATGTCCTGAAATATTATTCAGTGTACAGAAAGCACTATTTTTCAACCATTAAAAAATGTATAACCCAGGGGGCGCCTGAGTGGCTTAGTCAGTTAAGCCTCTGACTCTTTTTTTTAAAGATTGATTTATTTGGGGTGGGGGGAGGGCAGAGAGAATCTCAAGTAAACCCCTGCTGAGTGCAGAGCCTGAGCTGGGGCGCGATCCCACGACCCTGAGATCATTCCACTGAGTGGAAATCAAGAGTGAGTCGCTGAACCGACTGAGCCACCCAGGTGACCCAAGTGTCTGACTCTTGATTTCAAGTCACGTCTTGATCTCAGGGTCAGTGAGTTCAAGCCCTGAGTTGGGCTCCACGCTGAGCGAGGAGCCTACTTAAAAAAAAAAAAAAAAAAAAGTACAACCTGGGGCACCTGGCTGGCTCTGTCAGAACTCTTGATCACGGGGTCGTGAGTTCAAGCCCTACACGTGGTGTGGAGTTTACTTAAAAAAAAATGTACAACCCATTCTTAGCTCGTGAGCCATACAAAACCAGAAAACTGGGGCGCCTGGGTGGCTCAGTCAGTTAAGCGTCTGACTCTTGATTTCGGCTCAGGTCATGATCTCAGGGCTGTGGGACAAGCCCTGCATCGGGCGCTGTGCTGAGCTTGGAGCCTGTTTGGGATTCTCTCTCTCTCCCCCTGCCCCTCTCCACACTCTCTCTTTCTCTCCAAAGATAAAATAAAATAAAAATAAAACCAGACAACTGGTCCTAGTTTTCCAACCCCTGCTTTAGGAAACTCTTCACTATAGGTAACCAGCACCTTGTTCTGGGTTTGTTCAGTTGTCATCTTTATGCAGGGCACTCATGCTGGATTTAAAAGGAAAAAGCAAAACTTAAAAACTCTGTCTTGGCTATTCCTGAATATACAGTTGACCCTTGAACAACACAGGTTTGAACTGTGCTGGTCCACTTACACGTGGCTTTTTTTCCATAAATACGGTGCAGTACTGTAAATTGTATTTTCTCTTATGATTTTCTTTTTCTTTTTTTAAAAGATTTTATTTATTTGATAGAGAAAGACACAGTGAGAGAAGAAACACAAGCAGGGGGCGTGGGAGAGGTAGAAGCAGGCTTCCCGTGGAGCAGGGAGCCCAATGCGGAACTCGATCCCGGGACCCTGGGATCATGACCTGAGCTGAAGGCAGACGCTTAACGACTGAGCCATCCAGGCGCCCCCTCTTATGATTTTCTTTTCTTTTCTTTTTTTTTTTTTTAAAGATTTTATTTATTCATTTGAGACACAGAGATACAGAGAGAGAGAGAGAGCATGAGCAGGGAGAGAGGCAGAGGGAGAGGGAGAAGCAGGCTCCCCGTTGAGCAGGGAGCCTGATGTGGGGCTCGATCCCAGGACGCTGGGATCATGACCTGAGCTGAAGGCGGACGCTTAACCATCTGAGCCACCCAGGTGCCCCCCTCTTATGATTTTCTTAATAGCACTTTTCTCTAGCTTAGTTTATTGTAAGAATATAGTATATAATACATATACAAAATATATGTTAATCAACTATTTGCTATTGGTAAGGCTTCTGGTCAACAGTAGGCTCTTAGTTAAGTTTCTGGAGAGTCAAGAGTTACGCGTGTATTTTCTTTCTTTTTTTTAAAAGATTTTATTTATTTATTTGACAGAGAGATAGAGAGAACAAGTAGGCAGAGAGGCAGGCAGAGGGAGAGGGAGAAGCAGGCTCCCCACCGAGCAGGGAGCCCGATGCGGGGCTCGATCCCAGGACCCTGGGATCATGACCTGAGCCAAAGGCAGCCGCTTAACCGACTGAGCCATCCAGGCGCCCCTACACGTGTATTTTCAAGTGCATGGGGGTCAGTGCCCCTAACCCCTGCCTTGTTTAAAGGTCAACTGTATTATCATTTTGGCCTCTCTAGCCATGATGGAGCCCAAACAAGTGTGGAAGTTTAGAACTGCAAAAAGTAAAAAGAAATTCTCTTCTAAAACATTCTTGTTTACTGTCAGCCTTAAGGGATATGAGTGTTTCTCGTTATTACATTCTTAGCTGTGTTTACTCTGAAGTTTGATAACTATTTCTTTTATTCAAAAAACTGTTGCAGAAATAAAGAATAGCACTTGGCATTCCTTAGATATTAAGACATTTAAAAAATGCCATTTTTTCCCTCCTGCGTCCTGGGTTTACTGGTTACTGTTGGTGGGTCACTTCTGCCTCTTGTCCTCCATTGAGCAGCTTTCTTCTGGCATACCAGAGCCCCAGACAGGCTGCCCCCTCCCTCCCACCCCAGCCCGCTGTCCCACACTCACCACTTCCTTGGCGCCAAGTCTCTGGGGCTCCTCCCTCTCCCGTGAGCCCCCCTCTCTGTCCGGCCCTTTTGCATCCCCCAGTCGCACGGATTTGTAACATCCATCTGGGGGCCTTCTCCATTAAACCTCCATTAAACCTCTGGCTCGTGGATTTTCTCTCTTCTCTAAACTCCCACAACACTTAGCCCGGGGTACACGATTTAGCACTTAATTATATATTGTCTTTTATTGTTTGTTTTTATTTATTGTGTTAGTTTTGTCTTTTCAAGCGAAGCTACAGATTCCTTGAAAGGAACACATCTTGTATTTTTTTACTCCAGTAGGGACACAGTTAATACTTTCTGTTCTACCAATGAGTGCTGCTTGATGGATAGGCACAGATGTAAGACTTTCTACGCATTTCTCCAGTATCTGTGGTGCTGATGACTACCTGTCAAATTTATTAAACTGAGTTGAGTAATGAAGAGCAGCTCCGAATCTAGTATTCAGTTGGGTAAATCACATCATCTCTGTATCCATTTTCTCATCCGCAAAATGAAGATGAAAATGTTTTCCCAACCTACCTCAGAGAGTTACTGTGAGACTTACTTAAACGAGATAATGTAGCTTTGAACTGTATGAATGTCAGGGATTATTATACCTCACATCTCTTTTCCCAGGTGTTACAGGGGAAAGTAGGGTTTGGCTTTTATCACAAAGAGTGGGTCCCTTTCTAACCTCTGTTAGAATGGTGGGGCATTCTCAGGGAATCCTGAGTATGACTAAAAAGGTCAGAAGAGGGTAAACATGATCTCTTGGCTTCCAGTTTTCCTGAGAAATTATTACAGTTGTGGAAAATACAGTGTGTGGTTAGATTTTGAAATGGAAATTCCCCAGCTAAGATAGTCTTTGCTGCTCCTTACTTAACTATCCTTTCTGTACTCTTGTCTGCAAGCTTATTTCTGTCTTAATTCTCTCCTGGCAGGTCTAAAGCAAAATGTGGTAAAAGGAAATCTTAGTGAAGAGATGAGAACTTCCTGCTTTTGGAGTGGATCTTATTTTATGTCCTTAGATTCCAAAAGGAAAATCTTACTCTGGCCATCAGTTGACATAATTTTTCTTCTTCTTCTTCTTTTTAAAACCTTTTATTTTAAATAAACTCTATGCCCAACGTGGGGCTTGAGCTCACGACCCCAAGATCAAGAGTTGTATGCTCTACCTACTCAACTAGCCAGGCGCCCTCATAATTTTTCTTCTTATGTATTCCCTCCCCCCTTTACCACCTGTTGATTTTTCCCCCGGTCTTCCTGCCCTTCCTCCTTATTTTAGTTGACCAAAATACCAAAATACACTTGTTATCATCAGTGCTATTTCTTGAGATAGTTTTTGTTTTTAATTATAAAATTATTTGGGGTGAAAGATTTATATATCTCTTCATTAAATTCTAAAATGTATTTTTTATTAGTGCTTTATCCTGGACTTAATTTTTTTGTGTTTTCTATATTATACATGCAATTCTTCTTCCTAGGGCCCCTTTTACTCTTATTACTCTAGTATTTAACACTAACTGATGCTGTTCCTTTTTAAGGCTCAACTCCAGACCTGAGGAAGTGGCCTAACCTCATCGCCCCCGTGAGCGCTATGGTCAGTCACTGGGTAGGTCAGTTCGTATGGAGATCTCTGGATCTCCATAGGACATAGGAGGACAGAAGCGCTACTGCTATGAAAAAAGGGAAACTTAATTTCTCATGCCTCCTCCCTTTTCTGCGAAGGGCGCCGCACCAGCTCCAGCGTTCTACGGCGAAATCACCACAGCTTTCTCCGCCCCCTGAAAAGCGCCATACTCCAGGTGGGTCTAGTTGTCTCCCTTCCCAGCCAGCGAGGAGAGCCAAGGGCACCCCTCTCGGGGTGGGTGGGCGCGCCAAGCGCTGGCTCCTGCCCTCCGGGTCTGGGGAGTGCGGGAGGGGCAGGTGACGGGTCGCCGGGTGGGCGGCCCGCAGAGTTAGTTACCTGGCGCGGCGCGGCGCGGCGCGGCGCGGGGCGGGGTGGCGGGGGCGGGGCCGGGGTGCGATCTCAGGCTGCGATTGGTCCGCCCCGCGCCTGTCTCCATGTGCCGCGCGGCGGAGGCACAACATTCAAGTCCGGGGGCGGGGCCGGCGCGCGCCGGGAGGAAGCGGCAGCGCGGCAGCTGCGGGGCGTGGGGGCGGTGGCGGCGACGGCCGAGGCCGAGACCGAGGCGGCGGAGGCTGAGGCGAAGGCGGCGGCTCCTTACCCGGTGACGGTGCTCCGCCGGACCCCTTTCCGGGCCCCATGGAGGCGGCGGCGGGCGGGGGCTGCGGCTCCGGGCCGCCGCTGCTACTGAGCGAGGGCGAGCAGCAGTGCTACTCCGAGCTCTTCGCGCGTTGCGCCGGCGCCGCAGGCGGGGGCCCCGGCTCCGGGCCCCCTGAGGCCGCCAGGGCCGTCCCCGGAGCGGTCACCGCAGCCGCGGGCCCCGTGGCCGACCTGTTCCGGGCGTCGCAGCTGCCCGCCGAGACGTTGCACCAGGTAGGTCCCCGCGCCCCCTGCCCCAGCAGGTCTGTGGGGACCATTTCTGTGGGGATAAGGGGGCGGGGTGGGGCGATGGGGCTGCCCAAGGACCTGGAGGCCTCGGCAGGTCGAAGTCGGGGATGGCGGCGACGCCCTTGTCCCCCGGGGAACACCAGCCTCCTCCGCAGCTCAGGAGTGCTGGGTGCGCTCCCCGTCTTCCTCCCCTGAGACAGACTGACACTCCCTCCCCTCCCCCCCGGCCATTGCTGGGGCTCTGCAGCTGTCCGGACCCAAAGTTTGCCTTGTTCTGGAAGTGGTGTTTGTTTTGGCTAGTGTCTGGTTTAACCTCTGCTCGCTGCTCCTGCCTTTACCTCTCCTGGGTGGGTGGAAAGGGGTAGGCGCTCAGGGTGCCTTGCTGGGATTTGAACTTGAAGTGTGCGTGTGTGTGCGTGCGCGCGTGTGTGTGTGTGTATGTGTGTGTATGTATGTATGTATGTAGAGTCAGGGGCCCAGAATTGAATGTTGTCCGCCCTATATCCATGTAATCTATCTATCTATCTAGATATATATATCTACTATATGTATTTGCTCACTAACATATTTCTGAATATTGGTATTAAATTGGAAAGCCTTAACAGAGCAGGGACAAAGGGCTGCAAGAGGATGTCTGTCAGGGCAAAGCCAAGCTTACTGTTTCGGGCTAGAGATAGACCCAGACATCCACCATAGGAGACAGCTGTAGTTTCCCATCTTATTACTTGGACTTGAAATAGAACTGGAAAGTAATGTGTGTCATAGCTACCTCCTTTTAGCTGCTCCATACCTGGAAAAGGAGGAGGGAGTGATCCACAGCACGTGCTGTTTTTGTTTTGTGCTTTCCTTGGAGCTTGGAGAAAGACTACTTGATAAGCATCGTCTTTTGATATCACCAGGCCTTCATGTTGATAAGATTCTTAATATCAGGCCCAAAACATGAAAACCTTTTTAAAATTGTTTTTTTTTTTTAAGTTTTCATTTTATTTCCGGTTAACATACAGTATTATATTAGTTTCAGGTGTACAATACAGTAATTCTGTACTTCCATACATCATCCTGTGCTCATCAGGACAAGTGCACTCTTTAATCCCCCTCACCTATTTCACCCATCCCCCCACCTCCTCCCCTCTGGTAACCACCAGTTTGTTCTCTGTAATTAAGAGTCTGTTTCTTGATTTGTCTCTTTTCCCTTTGCTTGTTTTGTTTCTTAAATTCCACATATGAGTGAAATCATATGGTATTTGTCTTTCTCTGACTGACTTATTTTGCTAAGCATTATACTCTGGCTCCATCCATATCATTGCAAATGGCAAGATTTCATTCTTTTTGATGGTTGAATAATATTTCTTTATATAGATATAATACATAATAAATATGTATGCATAAATAAATAACACTTGGGTTGCTTCCATATCTTGACTGTTGTGAAGAATGTTGCTATAAACTATAAACATAGGGGTGCATGGAAATGAAGCTTTTCTTAAAAACAATAGTTAGTATGAAAGTTAACATCAATTGAATATTTAGAGTGGGGAGTGGTATTTTAAAATCTAGTTCTAGAGGATTAGTGAGGGTTTTATGGCTCACTTGCAATGTCACTGTGTTTGTAGGTTCTTTATTTTTTTTCTTACCACTTAAGACTGCGCTTTATACTGCTGGAACATGCATATGCCTATATGTTTGTGAGCATAACTTTAGCCACTCTGTAATCTTTCACCTTTTAAAAGGGATTTCTGAAAATGTAATTAGTATTCATAGAACTTAGCATGGCTGTTTAGCTCTTAAGAAGTCCTTTATATGTAGAAAGTTCTGCAATTGCTGTTCCGTGGTTGAGCTGAACTAGGTAGACAAAAAGTCAGTGTCTTAAAACACAAACCATGGCCATTACTTGAGGCCCTCAGAATATTCCCAAGCATATAAATTTATTAAATGATGTTGCAACTTCTCAACTGAAAAAGGAATAAGTGACTGAGGCCACACAGCAAGTAAATGACAGCTGGGCACCTGCTAAGGCTTATTTTGTAGTCAGTAATACATGGAGTGTGATAAGAGAAAGTGGGCATATTAAATGTGAATATGTTGGTTCACCACTCCTAAGGAATTGGGGAGGGGACTTTCCTGGTGTTAGAATCCATGCTCCCTTCAAGTATATATGATTTAGAAAGAACCCAAGGCACAGTACATTTGCATGAATGAGTTTATATTCTCGATGTCCAGTTGAAACTGGAGACTGCTTCAGATGTCGGCAAAGGGAGACATGCCTAGAAGATTGCTTATAGTAAATGTCTCAGAGCTCTAAGCTTTCTTACTCAGCCCAGCAAAATAAAATACATACTTCCCCATTAACCTAATATAATTGCAATAATCCAGTATTCTTCATACAGGTAAAAATGAACACCAGAGGCATCCTGGACAGGGAAATGTAATCAGAAGAGATTCAAACAAAGCTAGCAGTCAGCAGCCACCTAATTTTTACCAACCATTTTAGTGGGGAGTGGTGTGGTGTGTGTTGTGGTGTGCTGTGTCATGTTGTATCTTGATGTGTGTGTGCATGCTCCATTTACCTCAATTTGCATTTCCCCATGAGTGTATTAGCCATTCTTTAAAACAAATGTAGACATTTTTAGCCTTTCCCTGTTGAACAGGAACCTGTAAGTTCAGAATTAAGTGACCCAACAGGTATAACTGCCCAAATCATGGAGGCACTAACCATCCCTGGTAATTTCTATGGTAACAGCCAGATTTTTTTTTCTTAATAAGCATATAATTAAGATTAGCATAACATTTCAGGCAGGGTGAAAATCTTACCTGGAGTAAATGTTTTACAAAAATACTTAATTTTGTCTCCTCCTTGCAGTAAAAAATAAACTATGTCTGTTAGTTTGTCATGAAAGTGAGTTATGTTAAGGATTTTTTTCTGTTGAAATGTGTATATATATATATTTTTTAATAGATTTAATTTTTTCAGAGCAGTTTTATGTTCACAGCAAAATTACGGGGAAGGTACAGAAAATTCCCATACATCCCCTACCAGCACACATGCCAGCCTCCTCCATTATCAACATCCCCCACCAGACTGGTACATTTGTTATAGTTGACATTGACATTGACATATCATTATTACCCAAAGTCCATAGTTTGCATTAGGGTTCACTCTTGGTGTTGTACATTCCAAGGTTTTTTAAAAAAATATATTTATTGGGGTGCCTGGGTGGCTCAGTCGGTTAAGCGTCTGCCTTCGGCTCAGGTCATGATCCCAGGGTCCTGGGATCGAGCCCCGCATCGGGCTCCCTGCTCGGCGGGAAGCCTGCTTCTTCCTCTCGCACTCCCCCTGCTTGTGTTCCCTCTCTTGCTGTGTCTCTCTCTGTCAAATAAATAAATAAAATCTTTAAAAATACATATATATTTATTAAGACTTAATTTTTAATTTAATTTATTTCAGAGAGAGAGAATGAGAGAGAGAGAGCACTAGAGGGGGGAGGGTCAGAGGGAGAAGCGGGTCTTGATCCCAGGACTCCAGGATCATGACCTGAGCCGAAGGCAGTCGCTTAACCAACTGAGCCACTCAGGCGCCCAAGACTTGATTTTCTTAGAGCAGTTTTAGATTAATAGCAAAATTGAAGGAGAGGTGCATAGTGTTCCCATATACCCCCCTCGTCACACACATACACAGCCTCCCCCATTAGGAATACTCCCTTCCAGGGGTGCCTGGGTGGCTCAAGTCATTAAGTGTCTGCCTTTGGCTCAGGTCATGATCCCAGGGTCCTGGGATTGAGCCCTGCATTGGGCTCCCTGCTCGGTGGGAAGCCTGTTTCTCCCTCCCCACTCCCCCTGCTTGTGTTCCCTGTCTCGCTGTGTCTCTCTCTGTCAAATAAATAAATAAAATCTTAAAAAAAAAAAAAGGAATACTCCCTTCCAGAGTGATACATTTGCTACAATTGATGAACCTACATTGACATATCATAATTACCCCAAGTCCCTAGTTTACATTATGGTTCACTCTTGGTGTTGAACATTGTGTGGGTTTGGACAAATGTATAATGACATGTATTTACCATTAAAATATCATACAGAATAGTTTCACTGACCTAAAAATCCTCTGTGCTCTGCATAGTCATCCCTTCCACTTACCCCCAACCGCAGGCAACCACTGATCTTTTTACTGTTTCCATAGTTTTGCCTTTTTTAGAATGTCATATAGTTAGAAAAACACAGTATGTAATCTTTTCAGATTGGCGTCTTTCATTAATAATATGCATTTAAGATAACTCCATGTCTTTTCATAGCTTGATGGCTCATTTCTTTTTAGTGCTGAATAATACTCCATTGTTTGGATGTACCACAGTTTATCCATTCATGAACTGGAGGACATCTTGATTGCTTTCAAGTTTTGGCAGTTATAGATGAAGTTGCTATAAACATCTGTGTGCAGATTTTTGTGTGGACTTAAGTTTTCAGTTCCTCTGTGTAAATACCAAGAAGTGTGATTGCTGGATCATATAAGAGTGTCTTCAGTTTTGTAGAAAACTGCCAAACTGTCTTCCGAAGTGGCTGTACCATTTTGCAGTCCCCTCAGCAATGCATGAGAGTTCATGTTGCTCCATATTCTCACCAGCATTTAATGATATCAGTGTTTATTTTGACCATAGGAACGTAGTGATTGATATCTCGTTGTTTTAATTTGCAGTTCCCTAATGACATGATGTTGAACATCATGTCATATGTTTATTCGCCATCTTAAATTATATTTTAATGCATCATAATAGCCTATTTTAAAAAGGTCTTTTGGTCCTATTTTTAGAGTATTTATCTTCATTTGCTGATTTATTTTAAAAGCTGGATTCTAGGGCACCTGGGTGGCTCAGTCATTAAGCATCTGCCTTCAGCTCAGGTCATGATCCCAGGGTCCTGGGATCGAGCCTCGCATCGGGCTTCCTGCTCAGCAGGAAGCCTGCTTCTCCCTCTCCCACTCCCCCTGCTTG